CCAGCATAAGGACCATTTTAAATAAAAGAAAATTTGTGAAGCCATCACTGCAGCCACAGCAGTAGGTGTGAAACCTTGCACTTTTTACAGAACACCTTTTTATCTCGTGTTGAAAATGCAGCTTTTATGTAGGTACAGGATTGCTGTAAGAAAGGCATACTTGTAGGCCCGGCGCGGTGGCTCACGCCTGTAATCCCAGCACTTTGGGAGGCTGAGGCAGGCTGATCATGAGGTCAGGCGATCAAGACCATCCTGGCTAATCCAGTGAAGCCCCGTCTCTACTAAAAATACAAAAAACTAGCCGGGCGTGGTGGTGGGCGCCTGTAGTCCCAGCTACTTGGGAGGCTGAGACAGGAGAAGGGCGTGAACTTGGGAGGCAGAGCTTGCAGTGAGCTGAGATCACGCCACTGCACTCCAGCCTGGGCAACAGTGCGAGACTCTGCCTCAAAAAAAAAAAAAAAAAAAAAAAAAAAAAGGCATACTTGTAGACTATGATATTCAAGAAAAAGTGAAGTTATTTTATGACAACTTAAAAATGAAAGAGAAGCTAGAGGAGTTCATGCCAGCAAAGGATGGTTTGATAATTTTAGAAAGAGGTTTGGCCTAAAAATGGCAGGATAACAGGAGAAGCAGCTTCTGCTAAGACACAGCAGACAAGTTCCTGGGCACCATTAAGAAAATCATTGAGGAAAAAGGATATCTGCCTGAACAAGTCTTTAATGCAATTAAAAGTGTCCTATTATTGGGATGGCGGGGAGAGGGGCAGGCCGCAAAGGACATGAGTGTTAGGAAAAGAAGAAAGCACAGGGAATTAAGGCAGGAAGGGATAGGCTAACTACTGTTTTGTGCAAATGCAGTTGGGTTTATGATCAGGACTGATTGCCCGTATGTATAAAGTTGCTAACCCCCAAGACTTGAAGGGAAAAGTCTTTTGAAGCTGCCAGTTTTTCGATCATTCAACAAGAAGACCTGAACACTGAGAATCCTTTTTCTGGATTGGTTCCATCAATACTTTGTCCCTGAAATCAGGAAATACCTTGCCATGATGGGACTGCCCTTTAAAGTTCTTTTGATATTGGACAGTGCCCCTGGCCACCCAGAACCCCATGAGTTTAACACTGAAAGCATCGAAGTGGTCTCCTTGCCCCTAAACACAGTGTCTCTAATTCAGCATCTAGATCAGGGGTCGTGAGGACCTTTAAGGTTAATAACGCACGGTACTCTAACCTCAATAGAACAGCATGAAAATCTGGAGGGATTACACCGCTGAAAATACCATCATTATAGAAAAAGCCGTGAAAGCCATCAAGCACAAAACAGTAACTTCCTGCTGGAGAAAACTGTGTGCCGATGTTGAGCATGATTTCCCAGGATTTTAGCAGAGCCAGTCAAGGAATTTATGAAAGAGACTGTGGATAAGACAAGAGCTAATAGACACCAACCAGAGGAGTCAACAGAAGATGATTTAATGAAGATGCTGGTGCTTCCAAACCAGCACTAGACGACAAGGAAGAAGACAAAGAAGTAGTGCTAGAAAACAAATTGACTGTAGACAGTCTGGCAGAACGGTTCTGATTATTCAAGACTGCTTTAGACTTACTGTACAACATGGACCATTATATGATACAGGCACTGAAACTGAAGCAAATGATGAAAGAAGGATTGGTTTTATATAGAAATATTTTTTAAAGAAATGAAAAAGCAAAAAAGAAATTACAGTGTTTTTCCGTAAAGTTACACTGAGTGTGCCTGCCTCCCCTTCCACCTTCTCTACCTCTTCTGCCTCTGCCTCCCCTGAGAAAGCAAGACCAACCCCCTCCTCTTTCTCCTCCTCAGCCTACTCAATTTGAAGACATTGAGGATGAAGACCTTTATGATGATCTACTTCCACTTAATGAATAGTAAATATATTTTTCTTCCTTATGATTTTCTTAATAACATTTTCTTTTCTCTAACTTTATGGTAAGAATACAGTATAGAATACATATATAAATATATGTTAATCGACTGTTACTGATAATGCTTCTGGTTAGCAGCAGGCTGTTACTAGTTAAGTGTTTGGGGAGTCAAAAGTTATACATGGCACCCCCTTACCCCCATTGTTCAAGGGTCAACTGTATGTTGTTTCAAATCAGCATATTTTATAACTTTTCTAGATTTTGTTTTCCTATAGCTACAGAAAATGAAGTAACCACAGCCATTTGGCAGTTTTGCTGTTATTGTTTTTCTTTTTGTTGTTGTTGCTTTTTTTTTTTTTTTTTTTGATACAGGGTCTTGCCTTGTTGCCCTGGCTGGAGTGCAGTGGCGATGATAATAGTTCACTCCAGCCTTGAGCCCTTGGGCTCAAGTGTGCCTCCTGCCTCGGCCTCTTAAAGTGTTGGGATTACAGGCATGAGCCCCCGTGCTCAGCCTGTTGTTGTTTTTGAATAGTTTTTAAAATTGTGGTAAAATTCATACAACATGAAATTTTCATTTTAACCATTATTTTGATGTATAGTTCAGTAGTGTTAGGTACATTCTACTGTTGTGCAACCATCACCACCATCCATCTCCAGAACTTTTTCATCTTTCTGAACTGAAGCTTTTCATCCATTAAACAATAATTTCTGTCTCCCCCTTTCCCCAGCTCCTGGCAACTGTCACCATTCTATTTTCTATGAATTTGACTGTTATAGGTACCTCATATAACTGGAATCATATAGTATTTGTTCAATTTGTAAGTAATTTACTTCATTTAACAAAGTTTTCAAGGTGCATCTACATTATAGCATGTGTCAGAACTTGTTTGTTTTTTAAGGCTGAATAATATTCCATTGTTTTTATATGCCATGTTCTGTTTATTTATTCACCCATTGTTGGATATGTGGGTTGTTTTTGCTCTTTTACTATTGTGAATAATGTTGCTGTGAACACTGGTGTACAAATATCTGAGTCCCTGCTTTAAATTCTTTTGCGTGTGTACCCATAAGTATAATTGCTGGATCATATGATAATTCTATGTTTAACCTTTTGAGGAATCACCAGACTTTTCCACCGTGATTGCACCATTTTACATACCTACCAACAGTACACAAAGGTTTCGGTTTCTCCACATCCTCACCAATATGTGTTTTCTGTTTTTTTAATGGCAGCCATACTAATGGGTATGTAGTGGTATCTCATTGTGGTTTTGATTTGCATTTTCTAATGTTAGTGATATTGAGCATCTTTTCATGTACATATTGTTTGTTTGTATATCTTCTTTGGAGAAATGTCTATTCAGATCCTTTGCTTGCATTTTTCTTTTTCTTTTCTTTTTTTCTTTTTCTTTTTCTTTTTTTTTCTTTTTTCCAGACAAGGTCTTGCTCTGTTCCCCAGGCTGGAGTTCAGTGGCATGATGATCATGGCTCACTGCAGCCTCAACTTCCCAGGCTCAAGTGATTCTCCTACCACAGCCTCCTAAGTAGCTGGGACTGCAGGCACACACCACCATGCCTGGCTAATTTTAAAATTTTTTGTAGAGATGAGGTCTCACAGTGTTACTCAGGCTAGTCTCGAACTCCTGGGCTCAGGTGATTTTCTGCCTCGGCCTCCCAAAGTGCTGTCATTGTTTTTTGTTGTTGTTAGGAGTTTTAGGTGTTTTTTATATATTTTAAGTATTATTCCCTTTTCAAATATTTTCTCCTGTTCGTGGTTTGTCTTTTCATTCTCTTGATAGTGTCCTTTGTTGTACAATAGTTTTTAACTTTGATGAAGTACAGTTTATCTACTTTTTCTTTCATTGCCTGTGCTTTTGATATCATATCAAGGAAACCATTGCCAAATCCAGTGTCCTGGAGCTTTTCCCTGTGTTTTCTTCTAAGAGTTTTATAGTTTGAGGTCTTTGATCTATTTCAAGTTAATTTTTTTTTTATGGTTTAAAATAAGGATCCAGTTTCATTCTTTTGCATGTGGATATCTGATTTTCCTAGTGCTGTTTATTGAGAAGACTGTCCTTTCCTTATTGACTGATTTTGGCATCCTTGTTGAGGATCATTTGACTAAGTATGTGAGGATTTATTTCTGGGCTCTCTGTTCCATTCCATTAGTCTGTGTATCTGTCCTTATGCTAGTTCTACACTTTTTGATTTGTAGTGAAGTTCTGAAATTTGACTCCCACAGCTAATATTACTTTGGCTGGGCTCAGTGGCTCATGCCTGTAATCCTAGCTCTTTGGGAGGCCAAGCGGGGTGGATCACTTGAGGCCAGGAGTTTGGGATCAGCCTGGCCAACATGGCAGAAACCCCTGTCTCTACTGAAAAACTACAAAAATTAGCTGGCATGGTAGCACACACACCTGTAGCCCCAGCTACTCGCAGCTACTCAGGAGGCTAAGGCAGGAGAATCACTTGAACTTGGGAGGCAGAAGTTGCAGTAATCTGAGATCACACCACTGCACTCCAGCCTGGGCAACAGAACGAGGCTCTGTCTCAAAAAGAGAGATTATTTTGATGTTAGATTCCATGTGAATTTTTGGATAGATCTTTCTATTTCTGCAAAAATTGTCATTGGGATCTTAAGGGGACAACCACTTGTTTTTAACTGATTTTTCTGCATGGACCTCCTTGTGCCATAGCAATACAGTTATTTGAGACTTTAAAGTCTCTATACAATTTTTAATTAAGGCTTCTATGGGGTACTATGTGTTATAAAATCTGAAATGATCCAGCCTGGATTTAGATTATGCAAGTTTCTTTGCCTCTGTCTTCTCTTTTGGTAAGAAAGAGCATACCTAGAAAGCAGACAGCCTCCTTTAGGGAGGAAATAATATTTGACATGGATATGTCTTGAGAATTGTGTTTCTTTTGCCAGGTAATCTAAGCACTTGTGTAGGCTTTTAGCATGGGGTAGTTTTAGGGTGACTGCTTTAAAACTTTAAAGCTATAGAAATGACACTCTAAATTGAGAATAAAGTCACTTTTAAAGACTGTTAAGCCATAATTCATGGTAGTATGTAAAAGTAAAATTTTATTTCATTTTAGCATGCCAATGAAGATGTGGAAAGAATGTTACTAGGAAACAAGTGTGATATGGACGACAAAAGAGTTGTACCTAAAGGAAAAGGAGAACAGGTAAAAATCTGAATTAAACTGATATTCTGCTCTTTGTAAATATAATGCTGCTTTTGATTATTATTATTATTATTTTTTCTTTTGAGACGGAGTCTGGCTCTGCTGCCCAGGCTGGAGTGCAGTGGCCGGATCTCAGCTCACTGCAAGCTCCGCCTCCCGGGTTTACGCCATTCTCCTGCCTCAGCCGCCCGAGTAGCTGGGACTGCAGGCGCCCACCACCTCGCCCGGCTAGTTGTTTTTTGTATTTTTTTTTAGTAGAGACGGGGTTTCACCGTGTTAGCCAGGATGGTCTCGATTTCCTGACCTCGTGATCCGCCCATCTCAGCCTCCCAAAGTGCTAGGATTACAGGCTTGAGCCACCGCGCCTGGCCGCTTTTGATTATTTTTATAGTAATAGTGATGGAATGCACTAAGCTAATTACATAGTTTTTAAAATACTTGTTGGAAATATTTTATTATTTGAATGAATTTGTTTTTTAGTGCATATTTAACATGTATGGGGGAATCAAATGTTCCCATAGTATTTTTATCCTTATTTAAACTACAAAGAGAGAAAAATATAAGTCAGTAATCCTCAGTTTTTAAACTTAGGACTTTAAGGAGATGTATCAATTTGTATGGTTCTAAAATGTGACAATCAGCCTGCGGTGAGCAGAAATTAGACCCTGAGAAGTCAGGTTGAGCTTCTCGTAAGTTTGCCCCCAGGGTGAAGTATCTGTTTTAGTACTGTATCTGAAATAAACTTTCGGGGTAAGGAGATTACTTTTGTTTGTTTTATGAAAGAGCTTGACTTGCTGAAATATTCTGTGTTATATATTCTAGTTGGGACCACTGCCTTCAGAATAAGATTAATATTTAAGATGTTAAAGTCAGCAATTGGCAACCCATGCTTGATAATTTTATGATGATATTTTGTTTCTGTTTTAGATTGCAAGGGAGCATGGTATTAGGTTTTTTGAGACTAGTGCAAAAGCAAATATAAACATCGAAAAGGCGTTCCTCACGTTAGCTGAAGATATCCTTCGAAAGGTAGGTTCCTATTTTTACTTCCTGCGAGGTACCTGAGTGTATCTCTGTTGAATATTTTGTCTATTCTGAAGTACTGTATTTACATACAGAATTTGAGTTTGGGTGGTATTGTTTCTGTAGGGCAGCAGTCCCCAGCTTTTTTGGCACCAAGCACTGGTTTTGTGGAAGATAATTTTTCCATGGACCCTATTGGGTGAAACTGCCCCACCTCAGATCATGAGGCGTTAGATCTTCCTAAGGAGCATGCAACGTAGGTCCCTTGCACGTGCAGTTCACAGTGGGGTTTGCACTCCTGTGAGAATCTAATGCTACCACTGATCTGACAGGAGGCGAAGCTCAGGTAGTAATGCTCACTCACTTGCTGCTCACCTCCTGCTGGGTGGCCCGGTTCTTAACAGGCTACGGACCAGTAAGGATCCGCAGCCCCGGGGTTGGGGACTTTGGCTGTAAGTAACTGGGGAAACAGAAAGCCATCTAGAAGTCTGAAGGATCTAGTCGGTGGTAACCATTAATATTCTGAGCTCCACAGTCACTGTCTAGTCCCTAGTTCCATTATTTTTTCCAGTTTTTTATCTTTTCTAGCCTTTTTATTATTGGATTCATTTCTCTTAATGAGTACTTTGCAGTCTCAGATAATTTAGGAAATTTTAAGATAAGAAATGAATCTATTAAGTAGTTATTGCCACAGAATTGCTATTCTGCCATATTAGTCACTTCTCAGGCAAATAAAGGGCATGTACATATTCTGTACATACTGAATAAAACCTATTATGTAAGAAAATAAATAATGCTGAAAATGTGATCTTGAGGAATGCATGTTTTACCTCAGGTTTGTTTCTGGGTTTAAGATTTGTGACTCTCAATATTTGCTAGTATAAGTAACATGTAGCCAAATTAGGAAATCCGATTTTCATATTTTCCCTCAAGTGACTAGGTATAATGCATGGATTTGGTTATGAATCCTGAATTATCTGTTCAATCTGTTGTAATTTTAAATGCAAATAAATACAGATAAAATCTGACATACATTGGCCAGGCGCGGTGGCTCACATCCTAATCCCAGCATTTTGGGAGGCTGAGGCAGGCGGATCACGAGGTCAGGAGATGAGACCATCCTGGCCAACACGGTGAAACCCCATCCCTACTAAAAATACAAAAATTAGCTGGGTGTGATGGCACATGCCTGTAATCCCAGCTTCTTTGGAGGCTGAGGCAGAAGAATCCCTTGAACCAGGGAGTCGGAGGTTGCAGTGAGCCGAGATAACGCCACTGCACGCCAGCCTGGCGACAGACCAAGACTCCATCTCAAAAAAAAAAAAAAAAAAATCTGACACACATCCTAAAAGAGAAGCAGATGTTGTATAGTAGAAAATGTAATTACATTTGGTAACCTTTCTATTTTTATATTTGAAATATTAATATTTTTTCTAAAACCGACCTATATAAAAGGTAGATGTTTGTTTTTACATTTTCTTAACCAACCAGTTTTTTTTCTTTCTCCACTTTGGAAGGACAGAGACATTAGCTGTAATAGAGGTGGTATATCACATATAAATCTAGTGAAATTTCTGAGCAATTACAAGAGATTGAGTTGAAATACTTACATTGAAGTAAATTCTTTATATAGAGTGACTAAAACCAAGGGACCTAATTTTTAGAGTGAAATGTAGGTATCTGTTTACTACAATTGAATATTCAAACTGGAAAAAACAGTCATCAGTTATTGCTCTTTAATGGGGCTAAAAAATTGGTGCCCTTTTGAATCTGCCAGCTTCCTTTGCATATCATGTTTTGGCACTTCCTGCTTTAGGAGATGTTTTTCTATGAGAATCCAGTCAGATCAAAAATTGAATTTTATTTCAGAGAATGAGAGAGGCTGACAACAGTTAAACTAAGTATAAAAAATCTCCATAGTGTGTGTATTGAGTGATAAAAAGCAAATTAGGGGCTGGGCACTGTGGCTCATGCCTGTAATCCCAGCACTTTGGGAGGCTGAGGCGGGCGGATCACGAGGTCAAGAGATTGAGACCATCCTGGCTAACCCGGTGAAGCCCCGTCTCTACTAAAAATACAAAAAATTAGCCTGGCTTGGTGGTGCGGGTCTATAGTCCCAGCTACTCAGGAGGCTGAGGCAGGACAATTGCTTGAACCTGGTAGGGGAAGTTGCAGTAATCTGAGATCACACCACTGCACTCCAGCCT